CTGTTTCCATAAGCCGTAGATTTTGGGTGTGTTTTATTGCATCTCACAGTGTACTTAAATATCCCATACAGTTCCACGTCTCATTACAAAGGCAATTTTGCATGAGGGTAAGATGGTGATGACTGTGATTTGTTCTACTGCTGGGTTTGGGTGAATGTTTTGTGCCAGGGTACTTGTAAAAGGTGTCTGAGAGACCTGGATGGAACGAGGAGGCGTAGACCCTGCTGGTGATCTGTAATCCCGTCACATGTTTCTGTCATAAATCCTGGCTGGGTCACATTGGGCTTAGGCTTAACCATTACAACCACTGGCTTCGTAGTTCACGTAGAGGGAAACGCTACAGCTGACAACACTTGGAGGTGACTTCAGGTAGTTGGTTTCTTGTACGAAGAAGATGCTGTTACTAAGTTCATTTTCTCGTCCCTTCCAGGGTCATTGTTACTACCACGGCCATGTGCTTGGCTACCCTGGATCAATGGTCAGTCTCAGCATTTGTTCTGGACTCAGGTAAGTGACCATGACAACGACAGTTCTGGTCCTTGACTTGACCACCAGTGTGGCTAAAATGTGACATAAACGGTTTGTGCTAACTTGAAGGCTGGTGGGTTGAACCCATCTACCGGCTCTTTGGGAAAATTAAACAACTGACCCACTGCCATTCATTCGACCCATAGGGATACTACAGACAGGGCACAAGTGCCCCACAGGGTTTCCAAGGCTGTACATCTTTACAAAAACACAATGGCACATATTTCTACCATGGAGCGGCTGGTGGGTTCAGACTGCCAACCTTTTGGTTAGCAGCTCAATGCTTAACCTGTGCTACCATCAGGCTTCCTTTCTGTAAGACGACCACCAAGATAACCCCACGGAGCAGTCCCACTCTGTACCACAGGGCATCGCTGAGACTCAGAATCGGCTGAACAGCAACACTATGTGTTTTCGTTTGCTGAAGCTCCGAGAGCTCGGGAACACCTCCACCAGGGCAAGTTGGTGAAATTCTTCTCAACACCATGACGCATCAGTGCCCACCTGACTCTAAACCTTAGTTGTCCTTCCATGGTCCAGTTTGTGTCGGTCTCGGCTGCCAGGTTGTCAATCAGCTGGCTTCAGCTGTAATGGCTGTAACTGACAATTTCAGAATGGTCATTCATATGTGTGACTCTGGTGTTTAATAACGCCCAGTGCTGAAAGGTAGGGCGTACAACAGTTACTTGTAAACTCCTTGCTTGAAGAAAATGATCATTTTTTTGTGGTTGTTAGGAAGCAACATGAAAGGAGTTTAAGTTCAATGACCAAGATGTTCTGCATGTAGGCAGGGTAGGGGTCAGCAGGGGCATTTGCTGGTATGCTCCGGCCGCAATCTGAGCAGCAGTTACCTTCAGAGTTGGGCAAGTTCAAGCCTGGAACTGCCTTACAGCCCCTTCCTCCCAGATCTGTGTGTGCCCAGTGAACCCGGGAGGGCTGCTTAACTGAGTTCCAGTTGCCTCAGCTTCTGACTGGATTGACCAAGTCTGTGAACCAGCAGCGTTTACCATCCAAGTTCTGGTTTCGCATTGGCCCGTGGCACCTGGGTCTGGTTCTGTGGGAGGGAAGGGAGCTAGAGGGAACCAACCAGCCGGATCATGTTCCCTGTGTCAGCAGTGCCTGCAGAGTCTGTGTGGGCTTGTGCAGGATTGTGGGAAACACACTCCTACACACAGACAGCATACACAGCACATATAAATCACATATATCATACACACATGGAAACACATAAATACTACACACCACACACATGCACACCACACACGACACATAAAATCCTATATAGCACACACATTAAGATGCATAAAATCACACGGCACATACATACATACATACCACAACACATACAAATCATATACGCCACACATATTGCATACACATGAGAACATATAAACATCGCACATCACATACATCCCACACACCGCACATGCAAACCATATGTCACACATTAAACCACATGTCACACACCAAACACATACATGCCACACACCACACATAACATGCCACACACCATATATACAAACCATATACAGCACATACACACACACACACACACACAAACACATGAACATCACACACCACATGCAAAAATACCACACCTAGCCCCTGTAAATCTTATACATCACACACAGTAGAAAACACATAAAAATCATACATTCTACATGTGCACACAACCTACACATCACATGCATACATGCCATACATTCCACATACCACACACAAAAACATACAGCCACAACACACGCAGATCATTTATGTTACACACAAAATGTGTTCTGCACACACCAGAAAATACGTAAACACCACACACCATACATACATGCCACATACAACGTACAGATACAACACTTATCATTTATGCCACTTACAAAGCATGCATGCTGCACACATCACCCACACCAGGAAATACATAAACACCACACACACACAACTCATGTACCACACATAAAACATGATGCCACATCACACACCACACACACACCCTATACATGCCATACAGACGTAGTGCACACACACAGCAATGCAAATCGCATATGCCAGAAACAAAAAACATACATATATCACGCACCAGAATGCACAAACATCATATACACCCACAAACACTCATACCCAACACACTGCATACATACCACACACACAACACATATAAATCATGTGCCACACACATAACCCTCACCAGAAAACACATAAACACCACATGTCCCAAAAAGCACATGAAAATCATATATATTACACACCCCAGAAGACACAGAAACATAACAGCCTACATACATATGCACACCACATACATGCATGCCACACACAAAATACACAACACATAAAATTATGTCTTACACAACGTGCACATTGTATGCACCAGAAAGCACATAAACACCATATACACCCATGACACACACACAACACATGAAATCATATATGTCTTACACAAAGATCACAATGCCAGAAAGCACATAAACATCACACACCACATACACACATAAATCATATATGTTGTTTTTGTTACAGTCTTTAAGTGCTTTCAAGTCAGTTCTAACTCATAACGAGCCAGTACAGGGTTTTGGAGGAGCAGCTGGTGGGTTTTGAACTGCCAGCCCTATGGTTTGCATTCCAGGCACCACACCAGGAGTCCATATTACACACAAAAGATGCTTGTCAGACATCACACATCCCACACATATACCCTACACACTATATATGTATGTGTATATGTATGTATATATATTTACACACATACATTTACATATATGTATGTATATATATGTATGTATATGTGTGTGTATATATATATACATATATATACACACATACCAAACAAACGCATACTCTATACATCATATGCATACATATACACAGCACATACAAATCCTATACGCCATCCACAAAAACATACATGCCACATAAATCAAATATACCAAAATGCACAAAAATCACACATTTCCTACACATGCATGCCCCACACATACATACACATGTTTTTGCATACATTTATTATTCTTTACAAAGTACTTATATCAAAACACATAGGTGTTGTACCAACTATTCTATCGTGAGACAACAGAGCACGCCGCAATGCTGGGTCTCAGCATATATATTAGACCTACATTGGTTAATATTACATATAACCAAGATGTAATATTGCATATACATATATGTTTACATAGAAATATGTTTCTACAGTTCTTTATGATTTGAATACATAAAATTTATTCTTATTATTATCCAAAGTGAAAGTCACTTCCTGTGTCTTGAATAAAATATATTAGGATTTATTTTCATTAAATTATTTTAAAATTTAAAGTAGACTCTAAAGTAAATTCTTAACAACAGCAACACCAATTTACTTATAGCCCATTTCTAGAACACTCAGCCCTAGTATGGCACTGTAGAGTAAGCATTGAACTGGTAACTGCAAGGTTGGTGGTTCAAACCCACCAGTCACTCTCAGAAACCCTACACAGGGACACTAGGAGTTGGAACCGACTCAGTGGCATACAGCAACAGTAATTGAATTGATGGAGAAGTGTTTAAGCATTGAGCTGCTAACCCAAGGTCAGTGGTTCAAATCCACCACTTGCTCCCAGATCTTCATGTTGTTGTTGAAAAAGCAGTAGACCATGCACCAAGAGAGAAATCCAGGAGGTGTATGTAGTCAACTTTAGGATCTTGCAAGAAGAGAGTCCGACCCGGGGAAAAGCTGTATGCGATCAGCTGCTCAGAGACAGAAGAATCCCTTGAGACTGGAAATCGGGAAAGAAGCAGAAAGGAACATGAGTAGAACAGAGGGCTTTGAAAAAGAAAATAGGAATTAAGAATTATGTTCATGATGATGTGTTCCCAACACACAGAGAGATCTAGGAATGTAAAAGGCTCAGGTGTTCTCAGGGACACGTGAATTAGAGCCCAGCAGACTATGGTTCTACTGAGAGAATAGTGTAGGAACATCATGCAATCTTCTGACAGGCTTGATCAAAGATGGGCAGACGAGGGACCAGTTAGTCCTGGAATAGAGAAGAGAAGAGAAGAGAGAGCCAGCAAGTCATCTTTCTTCATTTGAAGCTTGAAGGAAAGCTAAAGGGTGGGGGTGGGGTGGGGGGTAAGCAAAGCACAGTGATCTTCGTGGAGAAGGGAATCAAAGCAGAAGCAACCCTTTCGTTGAGGAAATGAAGGCAGACGTGGAAAATGGATTCTAAAGATTAATAGAGCGGTGGAGTTTACTCTAACTTTGAAATAACTCCCAGTCAGATGTAAAGTTCAGGTCATTAAGTTAATGTTGTTCTAGCTCATGCGTTTCCTCATGGTGGTCTATTCCAAGCTGATACAGTCTGGGTGCGGTGCTCTTGATCACCTTCTGCTGCTGTGAATTGAATTGTTTCCGCCAGAAAGATAATAATTCACCTTCCGACCCCTACACCCGCGAATGAGACCTGGTTTGATAAAAGCAGTCTTTCCTTAGCAGTTGTTACCTGTTAATTGTGAATCCCTTCTGAGTAACTACTCGTCAAAGAAGCACAGATTCAGAGTCACACACACAGGGAAGACAGGTGACAGAGAAGCATCTGCAAGGCAAGGGACACCAAGGATTTCTGGGAACCACCAGGAGCTGTTCAACTCATTGCATTGGGCCAATCTGCTGCAAAAGACCTCTTTAAAGGGTTAAAAAGCAAAAATGTCACTTTGAGGACTAAGGTGCATCTGAGTCAACCCATAATGTTTTCATTCACCTCCTGTGGACATGAAAGCTGAACAGTGACTAAGGGAGAGGGAAGAGGAACTGATGGCTTAGAATTACAGTGTTGGCGAAGAATCTTGAATAGAGCATGGCCTTCCAAAAGAACAAACATATCTGTCTTTGGAGAAGTCCAGCCCAAGTTCAATCCTTAGAAATGACAGTGTCCAAATAGTAGCAACTATAGAGTAGTGTAGTGGTTCCAAATTGGGCTGCCAACCACAAGGTCAGCAGTTCGAAACTACCAGGGCTT